ATGTAAAAATAGGAAGAACTCCTGATCTCCTTTCCACGAGCATTTGAGTTTGTCGTCTCAGCACTTTAAATTAAGCCTCACGCCTCAATTATTTCCCTTTCCTTTTAACCAAAGCCCCATGTGGTGAGGAGCAGCTGTGTCACCTCCCTAGCTCCCTTTCGGCTCCTTCCTCACTGATCCTCCCAGCACGGGCAGCCCACCTTACCCTCCTGTTTCGGCTGTGGCTCTGGAGGTCACTCCCCTCCGGCCGGGCTCGGGTCAGGATGCTTGCCTAGGAGCTGCATGGAGCAGCTTATCCCTGTGGCAAAATGATACGGATGCAGAGCGAGCTGGGCTGGCGGGGGCAATGCGTGAGTGGTACCCAGTGCCGCCGAGCTGCGGATGCTCAGGCTGGGGTGCCCAGCCCCAGGCGTGGATGCTGGGAAGGCAAGCAAGACCTGGTAGATTTGCTCTTTCTGAGTGTTTTTGTACCATGGTGGAGCCTGGGTGTTTCTCTCATGTGTTCCCAGGTTCTTTAGTTCTCACTTACACCCTGCCAAATTTCGGGCAGGAAGAGTCCAGGCAAAGAAGCTTGCATGCGATGGGGGAGGAAATGAGGAGATTTATGTGAAAAGAGCAAAAGGAGATCCAGAATCAGAGGCCAAATGTTACTGTCAAGTTGTGCTGTTGTGTGGATGATGGTATTTTACTAGGCCTAGGGTGTATTTATAGAAGAACATAAATCATACACACATGCCCTGTTCTGAGCACCGCACACCTCCAGTATACATATCTCTAATTAACCAGCCACGGAGAGGGAAACAGGATTGGAGCCCACAACCCCAGCACCGTTTGCCAACAAAGCCGTGCTCTCCGTCCTAGCGGTGCCTACATTTATCTTTCCTGCAGCAGTGTTTAAAGTGAAAAGGGAGTATCAGGAGAGTTTGATAGGATCCAATTAAATTCCAGCAGATAAAATAATGATGAATTGCAGTTGAGCCCTGGCGAGACGCGATGTACATTACTGCCGTCCCCATAGTGCGGGGAAGGAGTTGAGGTCATCAACTACAGAAAAATAGGACACAGCTGCAGCCCAAGCACTTGTCCAGAAATGCAGCCCAGGGGGATGGTGCATGTGAGAGGAAGGGGGGTTGCAAGGGAAATTTGGATGTGTGGGTTTACTCACAGCGGGCAGAGGAGCAGCCCCTCCGCTGCCTTCCTCGAGGAGCGGGGTCTCTCCCTCCCTTCAGCTGCTGGGTTGTACGGGTTGGGGCTGGGGTGGGGTGGAAGCCCCGCGGCAAGGGATTTGATGGCTGTGGGGCTACCCGGCCTCGTCTGGGCTGGGAAGGGCTAGAGCCTTTGGTTAGTTGGCACAGCGCTTGCAGGAGCATCCCAAAGTGCATCTCCCCCAAGATTTGGGGTGTCCCCTCACTGGCTGCGGCTCTGTCCCCTGGGAGCATGGCTGCCTGGAGACGCGTCCTCGGAGTGTGGAATCCCTCACCCCACGGGGAGCTGGGCGGCTCTCGGTGCCAGTGGGCAGGTGAGCAGTGGGCTTGCTAGAACCAAACGTGAGACCTTCAGGGGAGGTGGCACCCACAGCCCTTGCAGCATGCTGGGGGCCAGTGGGCATCCCCCACAGAGGGATGGGGTGGGTGTGAGAATTGGAGCCATGAGAAGCACTTGAGGTTGTTGGCTGTTACTTGGGAAGATGCCCGAGATCAGTTTTGGGTGAAGAGCTTTGAGAAAGGCTTGGGGAGGAGCCCTCTTGCCTGAGCTGCGTCCCTGCAGAAGGAGACCTTGCTGGGAATAGCTGTATCCAGGTTGGTGGGGCTGGCGTGTCCTCCCTTGGCCCCTCCATGCTCACGTTGTAGGCTCTTCCAGAGACAGACGGAAAGGCTGGCTGGGTTAGGTGAGGAGCCAAGAAGCTCATGTCTCTGTTGCTGACTCACTCGATGACATCTTTTTTCCCCATCCACTTCTGCAGGCCATGCTGCACGAGCACGATTCTCCTCTGGGCGCCGTTGGTTTGCTCTGGGGGCCGTGCCTGTCGTTTTTTGCTCTCAGGGCAAACGTCCCTTTCCCATAACTTGTCCTCGCAGCAGCTGCTGTGCTGCATCATCCTGCGGCACAGCCGGGGGGTCCCGGGTGCCTTCATACAGCGAAAGGTGGCCTGAGAGCAGGGCTGCCTGGGTAGGTGCATCCCCCTGCTCGCACCCACCCGCGCCTCCTCTCCCCTCCCACCGCTCATCCCAGATCGCTGCCAGCCACAGCGATTGATTAACCGGGAAGTTAATAGCAGTTAAGTGTTTAATGGATGTGTAGCACTGTGTCAGCTAGAAGCAGGGAGGAGCCAGCATGATGGGACCTGCTGGCTGTCCATGGGCTCTTGTCTGGATCCCGCAGGATGGGCAGATTGGTGAGCACCCTTCCTGCCCCTGCGGCCGCAGCTCCTGCCCACACGCAGCGGAGCCATGGCTCCAGGTCCAGCATCCTATGGGGACCAGTGACAGCATCCAAGCTGCGGGCCCGCTGCCATCTCTGCAGGGCAGGTGAGAGGCTGCTGACAGACACGCAGACGCCGAGGACACGGTTTTCATTGATACCTGCGTTCCCTTGGTGATCCCACACCGCGAACGCCAGCCAGGGCGACAACTCCTGCTCCTGCGTGCTGCTTCCTTCCGCGCAGTCCTGTGCTGCCGGCTGCTCCCCGCCCGCCGCCCCCGCCCCACGCCGCGGCAAATTCAGCATCCTCAGCACGGTGTTCTTTCCCAGAGGGACACTGTCTCTTGTGCAGTTGCCCTGTTGCTGTCTCGAGGCTGGTGCATGAAGAGTTAACGCTCTCCCTCCTTCTCCCCCTATTCTTCTTCCTCCAACCCACCTCCCAGAAGAACTAATTTCCAAAAGCAGCCGGGGCACAGAGATGCAAATAAGTGTTTTGGACAGCTGCAGGCTGGATGCCTTCCCGAGATGCCAGGGCCCCAAATGAGACATGTCAGAGTACAAATTGAAAATGCCAATTTCACTTACGCAGCCACGTGGCTCGTCACAGCTAAATTCTGCTCCGGCGCTGCCGCCGCCCTCCCTGGCACACGCTCCCTCCTGCTGCCAGGGGGTGGTCTCTGCTCAATGCCTTGGGTCTGGCCAGCTCCTCATCATGGTCCTAGCGGGGATGTCCTCGTGTGGGTGTAGGACAGGGGAGGGTGAACAGATCTGGACTCCCAGCCTGTTTCTAGCTGCATCTTCCCAGGCCTGGTGATGGGGATGTTGCTGAGAAGCCCTGGTTGTAAATGGTGCATGATGGAGATGTGGCTGAAGGGCCTCTGAGCAAACACTGCGAGCGGTGCTGTGTCTGAGAGGCTACGTGGTGGGGAGTGATGGGCTCTTCCTGCAGAGGGGAGGTGGTGGTGGAGCTGCTGGGTGCTCAAGAAAGGGTGGAGTTTGCAGCTGGACGTCTCATGCCTTACAACTGCTGCATACGGTTGATCATTAGCAGCCTTCCTCCCCAGGAAGGGCTGCGTTTTGGGGTCCTCCAGCCTGCGTTTGGGTGGGGTGGCCCCTGGGCGTAGGACCACTAGCCAAAAGCTGTGGAAGTGTAACTGAGGACCAGGCTTGGCCTCTCATTTGCACCTTGCAGGGTGTAGGGAGCTGCTGTAGCCGTGCCGCACATCGGGTGTGTGCCCCATTTTGGTGCTGTGTCTGATGCTGGACTGTGGCTGGTGATGCTGCCTGGTTGGGAGAGACTCAGCACGGGAGGGACCAGCACTGACGGTGAGGTGAGAAGGACCCAACATCTCTTGCTTCCTGCAGCCACCTGGGCATGCTGGCTACTCTCGTGGGCCATGTCCCTGCCTCCTGTGGAGAGGGTCAAGCAGAACAGACCCACCAGAGCAGTCCTTGGCGCTGGTAGCGACAAATGTGCTCTGTGGGGCAGCAGCTGGGGCAGCGCTGGAGGAGATGCAGAGGCCACCTCCTCCAGGTGTGGCACCAGGGCAGCGAAAGGTGATGCTCGGGCTGGCTGGAGGTGGTGGCAGGGCTGTGGCCGAGTGAGTCGCTGCCGGTGCGTCCGCTGCTCTCTAACAAACTCCAGCAACCCATGAATCATTCATTTAATCTCTCCTGACACGCCTGTCATTTTCTCGGCCGAGGAGCGGGGAATCTCTTGCCGAAGGAGGTCATTAGCTGTCAGGGACGGTTCCGACTGCCTTCCTGCCTCTGTATCGATTAAACCTCTCCGTCTGCGTGCAGGGGCTGTGCAGGGAATATTGATGGAGCTGCCGGGGCTCGGGCTTGAGTTTCGAGGCAGGGGAGAGGGGTTTGGGTGGGGTGGGGGTGGAAGGAGCAGCGGACGTGGGTACGTCTGGACAGCAGCGAGGGCCTGAGTCTGGGCATGCTGTGGGTCGCCTGAAGCTGGGGGCAGGTGTCACATCCCTGCATGGGAGCTCGGGGGACCGGGGTGGTGATGCCAGTCCTGGAGCGGGGTACAGCCAAGCACAGCCTGGGGCTGGGAGCGAGGCGCCCAGGGTACGATGTAGACGTGGCGTGTGGAGGGGAGGGATGCTCTCCCAAGACCTTTCTGAGGGTTGGTGTGGCACCAGGCTGGTGCCTGGCTCTGTCCCACCCATGGCCGTGTGGCTGCAGCTTTATGTCATTGGCTGATGGAACATGGGGCTGGAGGGGACCGGGGTGACATCCTCCCATTGGGTGTCAGGGCCGATTCTGCCGAATCTGCTCCTGCCATGTGCCCAGCCTGTCCTCCCTGAGCTTCACTAGCGACAAGCGTGATCCTAGACGTGATCCCAAACATCTGACTGAGTGTCCCTGGAGTGGAGAGGACATGGGGAGGGCTCGGGTGCCTGATGGGGAGAGGTGTGTGTGTGCCGCAGAGACACCATCTGTTTCCTCCTCTCCCAGCAGCAGCAGCTTCAGACCTTTGGGTTAATGGGTCTTGGGTCTATTTAGAAACCCTTTATTTTGCTTATTTATCTTTTTTTGCCGGTTCAGCGTACTGGTTTCACATGCTGTGTCCAATGCTTTGACCAGTGGCTGCTAGACCTGTCTGTTCCTAGGCAGTGAACCAAGCCCCCATCCCTCTCCCCTGGGTTGATGGGAGACATCCACGTGACGGGGTTGTACACTTCTCCGTGCCCCTCACCGGGCCGTTTTGCCTCACCAATTAACGGGCTCTGCCTCCTTCTGCCCCCTCCTGCAGTATTTCTATGAAGGCAACGACATCAGTGACCTGCCGGTCAACTTGTCCGTGGTCTGGAATGGGAACTTTGTCATCGACAACCCCCAGAACATCCAGGGTGAGTGAGGGATGGGACAGGGGTGGGAAAGCAACCCGGTGCCCTCCCCAGCCTGCAGCCCACCATTCTCCCCACCCTGGCCGCAGTTTGCGTGGTACCTTGGGGCGGGGAGCAATGCTCCGGCTGCAGGGATCAGCTGGGTTTCTGAACAAAAGGCTTTTCTCCAAGAAGCTTTGGGAGAGACCAAATCTCTGCCTTGGCGTTGAGTCAAGGGTGCTGGTGCCTCCTGCCCACGGGGCGTTGCTCCCTTGGGAGCTGGAGGCACGCATGCAGCGGGGAGGGCGAGAGTGGGTGCCCTTCTCCCCAAAACCCTGTGCTCGCGGGCTTGGGGGGCCGTACTGACCCCCGCGCTCCTCCTGCCATTGCAGCCCACCTGTACAAGTGCTCGGCCCTGCGGGAGAGCTGTGGTCTGTGCCTCAAGGCTGACCCACGCTTCGAGTGCGGCTGGTGCGTGCTGGAGCGGCGCTGCTCGCTGCGGCAGCACTGCCTGGCCTACGAGAGCAGCTGGATGCACGCCACGAGCCGCTGCACCGACCCCAAGATCACCAAGGTACGCGGGGATGGGTGGGTGGTGATGGCCCGTGCTGGGGTACCGAGGTGGGGGATGGGGATGGAGATAGTGGTGGGGCTTTCTGGTGGCACCTCACAGCAGCCAGATCTACTCGGTGTTTAGGACCGAGCATCTCTTGTTGCCACTTTCATTTCCAAGGCTAAAATCCCCTCTCCGCCTCCCCCATGTACTGGACTTTCTGGCCTGTCTCCGAGATTCCCACCGGTCCTCCTGCGCACAGCCGGAGGATCCTAGGAAAGCCGCGGCTCTGGGTTGCTCCTCCTCTTGTCGCCATGCGCGCTGGTAGTTCATCATCCCCCTTCTCTGACAGCTTTTATGACCTTTGTTTAATAAGATTGCGTATATTAATGTTCACAAGCCTGTTGGGCCAGGCTCCAAGTGCGCGAGGAGGGACTGGTGGGTATACCTGCTGGATACCTTCTGTTTACCTGCGGCTGGCTGGGCCTCGCCGGTGTTAATTACCAGGGTCTTAGCGCAGGATCTGAT